ATACTTCTATTTTTTAAATTGTTCTTTTTTAATTTCGAATTATTCCTCCCTCAAATACCTATTCCAGTTACTATCTGTTTTTACTATCGATTTTAGTATTTTATTATTATCATCTCTTTTTTGATTATTTTGAAGTTTGTTACATTATTACTTTTTTCATCTTTAATTTGTCGACATTTAATCTAATAATTGAGAATTTCTTGTGAAAGGTACCCGGTTCTTGGTGAATCCCCCAGAGTGGCAGGATCTCTACTAGCTAAAAAAACTGTTTTCTTTATGGTTTTTTGTGTTCCTCTTGGTTTTATTTTGACTAGTTTTTGCGGTCTCTTGGAAGTCAGACAACTCAGACTATTCTGGTCTTTTTTTTTATCACCTGGTCAAGAACACTCTACTGGGCTAGTCTATTTGATGGTCAAGGATTGACCGCTTGATGCCTTGCTACGCAGTAGAGAAAACTACGTCCCTGTGGCTCTGGTTCTTACCGAAGGTGGTTCCGATCCAATGAAGAATGCGAAGGAAATTCAAGTGGAGCTTCGCAAAGCTTCTTCGTGCTTCAAGAAGATCAATAATGTCCGCTAGTTCGGACGTGGTTGTATCCTGTGCTGCTATGCAGATCAGGATTGCGTCCGAGAGCTTCTCAATTGTGCTGAATTTGTTGCACTGCCGAGGAGTCCATTTGTCTCAGCTGATCGTGCTTGTACAAAGGGCATAATCCATGGGGTGGATACGAGTCTGGCACCTGGAAAAGTTTTGAACTTATTTGAGGTAACAGGGCACTTTCAGTCTATAGGTGCGCCCGAACGACTTATAACAGGAACTCATCTACTGAGTCGGCTAAGTAACTTTTACAGCAAGAGTCACCAACAGCAATTAAGGCATGGTCACTAATCTACAAAGTAGAGCCACTTCGCCAAGACCATTGCAGTGCTTGAAATGTTGGCGATTTGGCCACAGTATAAAAGGATGCAGATCAATTGCTAGATGCCGTCTGTGCAGACAGAGTCGTGACATCCGTGGTTGTAACTCTGAAGAACATAAGTGTTATTTGTGTTATGGAGCGCACCTTGCAGACTCTGCTGAATGTGCGGCCAAAGAGAGAGAACTGGGTGTACTAGAAATTATAGAACACAGGCTTTGGTTTGGGAGGGAGGCTGTCAAAATACTGCATAAAATATCGAAAGGTTATGCAGGCACAATGCCCCACACAGCTGCCATGGATGCATCACTCGCAGAGTCTATAGCAGAGGCCTTGAAACGTCTACTGGAAAGGCAGTGGCACGTTTGGCATTCACTTTTTTTGAAGCCTGGGCTAACATGCTATCACAACAGCTGAGTCAAATCTTTGGTTCAACTTCTGTGCAAGATCAAGATTCTCAAGTTTTGGCGATTTCAAAAAGTACAGAGATGCAAAATCTGACAGATAATCGTAGATCTGTCTCTCAAAAAAGCAGCACTTTCTGAAGATATATTTCATGCTGAATCTGAACGCGTAACAAATGCTTCGGGAGGCTTTACAGATATGGACACAGAATCTCAAAAGGCTCTGAAGCGTAACGGACCTCCCCCTTCGAAGTAGTTTCCTAAGAACTCAAAATCTCAAGATTACCTCTCAAAGAAGGACTTTTTTGAAAACCTGTTAACAATGACTTCTTGAATAAAAGATATTTTGGATCAGGCAGTTTATATTGCTGTTCTAGCATCAAACTGGGTTCGCTAAAAATTATGAAGTAGAATTTCTGGCCTATTTGGTCGGCAATCGCAGATTTATCCCATTGCCACGTTCCTTCCTCAAGATTTCTTAATACCCCATTACGCTGTACGCGACTCTCAGCGCAAACCGCGCCTACGGAAGGAAGGAAGCAACAAAAGGGAGAAGGCAGGGAGGTTAACCAGAAAGACATCCGGTTGGCTACCCTACACTGGGGGATTAGGGAATGGGAAAAGAAAGACGAGAAAAAGGGAAGAAAGGGAAAAGAAAAAAGGGGGGGAAAAGACTGACAGTAATTGCACTGCAGCGTGTAGAGCTCTACCGCTTGTCAGAGGCGTTCACACAAGCCTGTCTTTCTCAGGAAACACAGCAGGGCTTTCACTGCCTTGTAGACTGTCGACGCATGTGGACGTTGCTGTAATAGCACCTGCACAGAAAGAGGCCGATCATACAGTCACCGCATTGCGTTGGCAAGTATTTGTCTATCTGAACCGCACCTACAGTGTTCGAGAAGCTTCAGGGCTGCCGTAGATCATTTTGTTGAGATTACGCCCAAGTCGTGAGCATTTCAGATTAGTCTGGAATCTACGTAGCCGCTACCCATAACGCTAGAATGTGTGATGGCGAGTGTGTAACTGCCGACACGCTTCGCCGTTTGTCAGTTGATCGACGTCCGACGCTCTGCTTGCCGCTATCAGTGCCAGTGTCTTGGTGTAAGCTGATTTTCTTTTTGCGTGACCACAAGTTCGGCCTGAAGAAACAGCTGATTATTCCACTTGCAGTATCCTCCCTTCGTCCACGTGACGACCCCGTGACACCTGGTGGAGGTGCTTCCCGTCCATGTACTGAACGACCCCCTCTGGTCGAGAGCCAAGTCCCAACCGCGAAGCACACACCCCTGCCAACCTAGACCTTCGAGCAAGCCGCCGACGGCAGGGGCTACCTCCGGAGTACGGGGCCGTACTCGATAATAATCGCAAGCCGAAAGACACCCCCATTACTGCGACCACTATGACAGCCCCTATACCGACACCCGCCATTGTCGTAATGTAGCAGGCAAAGGGGCCACCGATCTTGCACAGATCCTCATTTGAAGAACAAGAGACCTGGCTGGAAATGGACGACCAAGTGGCCGCCTTGAACCAGTGGGACTCTGAAGAAAAGTTGCGCCGCGTCTACTTCTATCTGGAAGACGCGGCGAGGACCTTGTATGAAAATCGGGAGTCTGCACCGTGATCCTGGGATCTTTTTCGCGGCGCTTTCCTGGAAACTTTCACAAGCGTCGCTCGCAAAGAAAGAGCCACTGCTTTGCTTGAGATCTGGGTGCAGCTACCGAACGAAAATGTCACCATCTTCACAAAAGAGATGACGAAACTGTTTCGGCATGCTGATCCAACCATGGCTGAAGACAAAAAGCTCCACTTCCTCATGTGTGGCGCGAAGCAAGAGTTGTTTGCGGGACTCGTTCGCAACCCGCCCAAGACGGTTGAAGAATTCCTCACCGAGGCCTCTACAATCGAGAAGCCTCTTGAGATGCGCACAAGGCCGTATGACCGTCGCTCTTCAATCGCCAATTGCGCCGAAGCCCATGGCCTCAGCACGGACGATCTGCGTAAGACCATCCGACAGATCGTGCGGGACGAGCTACGGAACCTGTTGCTTTCGTTGCAGCCCCACGTGGATTCGATTGCCGACGCCATGCGTGAAGAAGATCGGCAATCACTTGGAATGTCAGAAGCTCCATAGCCTCAGCCGTAAGCAAGGAGCTACACTGCTGCAACCCGACGGTACGCTCCCCTACGCAACCCGACGCTACGCCCCGGATGATGTTGAAAAAAGGAACCGGAATGGAGCAACTATAACGCGCGACACCGAGAGGAAAGAAGAGAAAGCCGAGGACACAAAGCTCGCGAGGCACGGCAAGACAGATAGTTCACCGCGAACGCAGAATAAAGTCGCATTTTCTCTTACGGTTTTGGAGCCAGTCGTTTCGTAATAGTGGTGTGCGCCACGGACAATAGCTGAACAAGAAGAAGAAGAAGAAGGAGAACAAGGATTGGCCGGGTAAAAGGTGAATCAAACATCGCAGTCGTCGCTTTCGAATATTTTCAGAACAACGACCACACCGTGGTCCTTTTGCGATTGCTCGTCATTCCGACATGACAAATGAAGCAGTATGCACACCAAAATTTAATAATAATGCAATGTACCACACAAATAATACATGTGCTTTTCATCGGCTAACCAGCACCAGATAGAAAAAAAAGGGAGGGGTGGAGACGAGAGGAGGTGAATGCAGTAGTGGGATGTAAGCGGAGAGAAGCGGGCAAAAGTATTTCTGCCACGTCACGTAGGGGGCTGCTAACTGCCCGCACTTGAACCTTTGAGGAAGGCCTGGAAGTGGATGCCGTGTGCAACGCAGACCAGGGTGAGTTCATTGCCATCTCTATGAGGTAGGACCACCGCTGGCCTTCGGTTCGTTTTACTAGCGAACAAACATGCGCTGCAGTGAAAACAGAGTTGGTGTGCTAGTCTTCTTTCGTCTCGGCATCGCTCGTCTCCCCCCATGCGCACCGGCCAAGGGGCAGTATTGAGGGGGTGGGGGGGAGCAGTGGTTCCAACAGTAGATTGATCGAAAAGGTTTAATCGAGTATGGCGATTACGTGAAGCACCGAAATCACTTACGATTATTCGATTAACCGAGAACATTTCAGTGAAACATTGTTCATCGATTTTACCATTCCTAAAGAGGGTACAAATCGGTCATGTGCCTCGCGTCATGTGCCTCCATGACACAAATCGCCGGCCGGCCGTATCAGTTCATCAATGGCGTGTACCCTCTAGAGAAATCACATCCTTTCACCACGCGACAAAAACCTGCCTTTTCACTCTTGCTCTTTCTCTCTTTTCTCAGTGTAATTGCGTATCTTTGTATGTCGAAAAAAATAAGTAAGTAAATAAATAAATAAATAAATAAATAAATAAGTAGACAACTCCAGAATGGCGCGTTGCGCAAGGCAAATGGCCCCGAGCGCGTTTCGCTATATTATTTTCGACGAATAAGTGCATGGTTCGAAACAGCTGCGTTCTCGTCTAAGATTCTGCTACGTGTGAAACTTATCGGAAAAGAACCCATCACTCCCACATTCTGGACTCCGATGCTAACGTAAGCTGCATGTTATCAAATACACCAGTCAATGAAATATTTTTAAGTAGCCACGGTGCCATCACTGGTTTTCGAATAATAAATGTAATTTATCTTTCACTCTGTTGAACAGCTTGTTGTCTGAGAATGGCCTCGCGAGTGCCTGCTGTTGCCGCACTGCTGTGCCTATTTAGCTATGTGAAAAATCTGGATATAGACAAGAGCGACGGAGGCTACAAGGACTTGCTGATTTCGATCAACAAGGATGTGCCCTACAACGAGACCATCATCGAGAACGTCAAGGTATTACCATAATGCAAATATCTATACATATGTTTTCGCAAAACGAAGTACCTAAATGATGTTCTGATTACTTAGAAACACGAGAAACTTCACAGGGTCCCCCGCCTCAGCCTACAGCCCTGTTCATTTTCTTAGGATTAGATGTACTGAAGCTACCACGCACCCCTTTTAGGATGTTTCCAGCAAATAGCATCGTCTTGCAATTAGTCCAGGGTCGGAGGCATGTTAAATGTTGTGCACCTCAACACGTTTCGCCCTGCCTTCGAGGTCAGTATGCCCTTCACCAAACAGTGATGTGATGTAATGACATCACGTACATGATATGATGTCCCACACACTTCCTGATCAGCGCCGTCACGATGACGTTAAATGGTCACGTCATATGGCGCTATGATCGCGTGATGATCTTTTTTTTTTTGCATCACCTGTGTTGACACCGCCAACGCTTATGACGACGTGGAACGCCAGTGACTTTTATTATTCGTTTAGGTACACCTCATCGACAGGCAAGATACTTTGGTTAATTCAATTTATGACTAGGGGGTGCATACGTTAATCGTTGTCCTTTCCGCAACTAAAGTGAATGAAGTGATGAAAAGTTATCTAGCTGAAAGCATACTTGCTCATGCCCATGCAATATGATAACCTATTAATCTGGCATTCTAATCTTTCTTTACATTGTCAATATTGCGAGCGCACGCCAATTTTCGATGTATGCACTCTTCTGTACCTGCTTAGAAATGAAGAAACGTGTCTGATAGTTGAAGATTGGTAGACGCCGTAGTGGAAGGCTCTGAAAATGTCGACCACCTGGGGTTCTTTAACGTGCACCCAAATCTGAGCACACGGGCCTACAACGTTTCCACTTCCATCGGAAATGCAGCCGCCGCAGCCGGGATTCTATCCCGCAGCCTACGGGTCAGCAGCCGAGTACCTTAGCCACTATAGACCACCGCGGCTGGGCGAAGATTGGTATATCAATAATAGTATTGGTAGCGCATGCGTAAGCCAACCGTCGATTAACTTGCACAAATATGAAATCAAATGCCTTAATAGTCGTGTTTAACGTAGATCCCCACACATGCCAGATTGACATGTTCGCATGTTGTATGGGCATGCACAGATAAGTTTCTATGCCTTCTTTCTTTTCGTCTTTGAGTGCGTCTTCAATCGTTAGTAAGCGTCTGAGGCGTCCCGACTTCCTACTTGGGTACATGCTTGCGTGCCCTGTCTTCTCAGAAGGTAACATCTTATTTTCTGCCATATGCGTGGCATGCTGTGCAAGAGCTCATATGACCACAACAAGAAATCAGGGTACTGTGGGTCTGTGGATGAGCTTGTTGTTGGCGCTGCGCCTAATGCGGATTAATTATAGTTCATCCTTTCGTAAGAAAGCTTTGAACCAGCGAATTGTTAAGAAATTCACACTGTGTAAGGCTTGGTGCAATCCTGCGCTTTCTCCACGCAATATTGAGTAGAACAGCGTCACCCTTCACAGTACTTGACCTAACATATATGGTCATTTTTCTGAAATAGTTTCGTAGATCTGTGTCAAAATACTTGATTTCCACGCCTCAGATGGTTACGATTTTGGCTAGACCCTCCGGCATCTTTTTTTTTTTTTGTTTAGCTTCCATCATGCTTTTTTTTTTTTGAATGGAGGAGCTTTCAGAAGGCTTTACGCATATCGACAACTAATGCATTCGTCATACTAAACTGTTGTGCGAATTTGCGGTTGCGACAGTTATATCGTGTTCCACTCCCGATTCATGGTGGTTGTGATTGTGGTTAGAGGAAGGAAAAGACGCCTAATTTATGCATCCCTTAAGAGAGCACGGCGCAGCGTGTTGTAGGGAGATGGGGGAGGGGGAACAAAGAGTAGGAAGGTAGAAGATAGGAATAGGAGCAATCAGTCAATAGAAGGGGGCAACTGCCATTTGCAGCAACAGCAGCCAGTAGTGGGCGACTGTTACTGACTGTGTGCTTGTGTCTGTGCTGTGCTATCTTTCAATCTCCCCCATCTCGTTTTCATGGGTAGGGTAGCAAACTGGTTATCCTGAACTGGCTAACCTCTTTAGCTTTCCTTTTCTACCATTTATTCTATCTAGTTATCTCACACATAGCTCTTCTTTCCTGTGATTACAAACCAACCCTTAAGGAAATGGTTGAACTAAATCTACTCGCATGCTTGCAGAGCCTGCTTAGGTCTTCGTCTCACTTCCTTCACCGTGCAACCAATGGCCTCGTGTACTTCAAGCACGTGACAATCAACTTCCCACACACGTGGCCAAAGAGAAGCAGTGCGCGCCGCTTGTCTTCGAGTTTGTTTGAGAAAAGTGACGTACGCATCGACCTGCCTGCAGAGTCACAAGAGCAGGAAAGGCCCTTCACGAAGCAGTGGAAGCTTTGTGGAAAGCCCGGAGAGTATATCAAAGTCACGCCAAAGTTTCTAGCCGATTTGAACGATTCAACAACCAAGACATTTGGAAATCCCGGTATGTATCAGCTGCCTAATTACCTTCTGGTTTAAGGTAAAGAAACCGACAGCCGTGGGTCTCGAAGTTTCAGAAGTGCTACGACAAAAATAGCACACGCAAGAGCTCGCTTAGAATGAAGCGCATTCATTTTCTGGTGTTGAAAGGAAGTCAAATCATCTATATGATGTTGCTGTTGGGCTACTTGATCGCCTGTGGTATATTTAGGAACGTTACACTAATAAATTAAACAGGTTGGTAAATACATAATGACCGCATTCCCTATCATTTCCGCAAATGACGGTTATCGACAAATGAGGGAGATGTGCAACATTCGTTAAAATAATAAACGGCGGTCCAAGGTCGTGTCCTACGCTTGAAAAATATGCTGCATTTGTAATGCAACGTGTCCCGTTTGTTTATGTAAAAAGCAATTCATATCTGTCTAATATGCTTGTCATGCTGCTTCATCGGCTGCCTTGTTGTTGAGAATGTGGTAGTGTTCCTGATGTAATGAGAGGATAAGTTGAATCGGCAGATCAGAGTTCTAGCTATGGAAATGCATTGCCTTTATGCCTGTATTGAACGTTATTGAATATAGAAAGAAGCCCTTTTAATTTTCTGACAGCGGAATCCTATCACTGTTACGAGATGTTTTGGTACTGCTTTGTTATCTTCTGCGTTGTAGATGATCTTTCCTGGTATTCACCGATATCTTGTTGTAATGCCCCTTGTTTGCTATATTTCATCTCTTTAAGCATATCATAACTAATTCTAACAAGAATGCTCTAGTTTTTGTCTGTGGAACTGTGGAACCTGGTCGCATAGTGCAATCAGCGAAAAAAAACATTTCACGGGTTTACTTCGTGCGTACAGCAAACGAATCTATCTATCTATCTATCTATCTATCTATCTATCTATCTATCTATCTATCTATCTATCTATCTATCTATCTATCTATCTATCTATCTATCTATCTATCTGTCTGTCTGTCTGTCTGTCTGTCTGTCTGTCTGTCTGTCTGTCTGTCTGTCTGTCTGTCTGTCTGTCTGTCTGTCTGTCTGTCTGTCTGTCTGTCTGTCTGTCTGTCTGTCTGTCTGTCTGTCTGTCTGTCTGTCTGTCTGTCTGTCTGTCTGTCTGTCTGTCTGTCTGTCTGTCTGTCTGTCTGTCTGTCTGTCCCACCGTCCATCCGTCTGTCCACTTACGTCTGGGTGCTTTCTTGATCACCCTCTCATATGACGTGAACCAAAATCAGTATGGGAGGGTAAGATGTTTTGCCGAACATGGCGTGCGGATCAAGACATGAATTAAGTCACAGTCTCGTCACGTACGTGAAATTGTTTCCGCCACACAGTGGCACATACCCACGAGCGGTTATGTACCACCAGTATGCGGGTATGTGCCATAGCTGATTGACAGTTCATATCTACCCTGGAACGGCGAGAACAGACACGGGAAATCTTAGCGTGTGAGCGGGTCGAAAAGCTTGGCATTGACAGCATGTACCTGACCCATGCAAAGAAAATTAACACCATCTTCCCTAATGGGCTGCGAAGAAGCAGCGGCACGCACGGGTGGTTTCATGGGTTGGACGACGCTAACACGGGTTCGGCGGTGAGCGCTGGAATATTTGTTTGAAGCGATGACGGGAGTAGGTCTTGTAGGTGACACGTACAAACTTGTTTGAACTAGGACTTCAACATTAAACCGGCTTTGCGGCGAAACTGGTTATCCGGTTATTCGATTAATTGGCTGTTAGCTTTCGAAAACCGGATAACCGGATTGGCCGGATCTTCGGATGGTAATTCGGTTAACAATACCGTGATATTAGGAAAATCGAATAATAGGATTTTCATTTTGTGATGCTACGATGAATATTCGTTTTTCTTGGATTGTAGCTTTTGTAGGAAACATTCCAACCATTTTTAAAAGTCCGATATGTGCTCTTGTTGACCTTCTCACATCGTTCATTTGTCTTAATGGGGGGGGGCTATACGTGAGCCATTTGTGATAATGCCTCTTGAAAGGTGGCTAGTGACTACGCATTCCCAAACATTCTGTTAGTTCTAAATATCCGCAGGGTGTGAAAATGCATGCACAGTTAAGAAACCGGAAGTCTTTGCATGGGGCATCAGTAATATTGTCGGTAATTAATTAACGAGCGGCGCATGTTGTGTCGGCGCGTATGCTATAGCACTTAAATTTCAAAGAAACTTTTAGCGAGACTAAATATTCGTTTCCGAATATTTTAATAACCGGGTGTAGGTTCATTAAAACTAGATAAGCAGAATTTCCGTGTCTTTTAATTCAGATAACCAAATAGCCGGCTTTAAAGCCCGGATTCGATTTTTTCCGGTTTAACCGGATAGCCGGATTGGCAAATACTTGCACGCCCTAGTTTGAAAGCGGACGTTAAGTGCGCGTCAGATTCATTGCCCGTGAACCGACGAGTCGGTGGTGCAGCGAGTGGTGGTCGCGGCAGGTGTTGCGGGCGAACTGTCGAGGTGGCAGTTGCGGGCGCTGCAGCGAGTGTGCGGCCAGCAAGGGAGAGAGTGACGTCAGTGCGTACTGAAACGGGAGTGGGGCGTCAACGCGCAGCAGCAGCGTGACCTACTAAACACCGCTTGGCATTGCGCCAACACCTGCGGTGCTCGGCCCGTTCGTATGGAGGGACAGCGTAAAACAGGCCAGTCAAGGAGCTGCTTCGCGTATAATAATAAATGTCAGGGTCCCAGCAGGAATAGAACAGCAGCAATCTGCGTCTCAATCAAGCATTCTACCACATTGTCACGCCAGGTCTCGGAACTGCTTTTCAAATAGACCCTGATGTACCGAAAACGTCAATTGTGGTTGCAATGCTGGCTATCTTATTTTATAAACATTACACATGTACTCATATGATACAGCCGTCACGACGGGATAACTTCAATTTTATGACTTCGGTTGATTTATGCAGCAGTGCCCAGACCTACCATCCTCACGAGCACTAGCACTTCATATAAGCTTATCGCTTCTCGTTTTCTAATGCTGATATTCCTTTTGGCATCGTTGCTCAAGTGCAAAGGACTGATTATGTAAACATCTACGGCTGTTCAACATGTATCTGTGTGTGCAATATTTGTACGTATATTTAGCGTCAGTTCATAGCGTGCCGTTTAATAAAAAAAATTACAGTACAGTCACCTTCCCTCCGCATGCTTTGCATAGCGTCGATTCCCAAGGTACGTGGGATCTGCGGATTTTTTTTTTTTTTGCTTATAAAGCCACAATTTTTTATGGCGTCTCGTTTTAAAACATTCAATCGTTTCCGAGACATTGAGACGCTCTGTAATTTATTCACGAGCGCACCTATCACTCAATCTGGCTATGTCGACATGTATCAAGCCAGTACGTCGTTTTCATGTAACGTTTGAAAACGAACAGATGTCTACCCGTTCATGTAATTCTGGAAACTGACACAATCCAGCAAAATTGAAAAGTAATCTGGTTACACTCATGGCACATATACCTCGCTAATAATTCCTGCATAAATTCTTGGCATGGTACTAAATACCACTGAAGTAAGTAGTCGTAGAATTTGATGAACCTAACTTTTTTTATGGTGCATTCTTATACCCCTGTCACACGGCCACCGCCAAACTCCGTTGAACACCGTCAACGTAAATCTCCCCTAGGGGGTTCTACGGAGAAGGAGTTCGGCAGTGTCACACGGCAATGACAAGGTTATAACAGTTGCCGCGAGGAGCTCAGCTGGCGCTGTTTGATTTTCGGAAAAGTATTCTAATTTGATCCCTATTGATTTTTTTTTGAATCCTCGTTATGTGGTTTTTACAAAAAAGCACTATAAAGTAGGTATGCGACTAACAAACCATTAAAAATAATTTCAAATAAAAACGCATTTGCTAAACGTAGCAATGCTGCTAGTGACGCTGGCCACATTGTGCTTTTAGTTGTTTTGTTGCCTGTGTACATGTCCGGTACGAAAGTTCTTATGCTTCCTTGCCTCGTGAGCGCACATTTTGTGTTCTTCAGCCATAAGTGGCACAGTGGACGACGTGAGGAAGTGGTGCGATATTGCGCTGGTAATGACGTTGATCGGCTGGCGCCGGCCGGCCCGACTCGCGAGGCACGGTGTGTAGGGCATTGGTGTTGAGAGTAAGAGAACTCTGGCGGGCGTAAATATTGTAAACAAACACGCGTTGTGAATGAGTACTACAACGAAAGAACGTTTAATATTGCTAAAATGTATTATTCTTTCACTGCGGCCACTTAGTGCTCGAAACTTTTCTCTGACCTCTAGACTGCTGAGGACGAGAGTACCTCGTTCCGCTGAGAAGGGAGATCGTTGAACGTCCTTTGCGAAATGCTCCGTTCATCTTCGTTTGCGTAAAGGTGGCCGTGTGACACCAACCGCATCTTCGTCGTCATAAAGACGAGGGAGTTAAACGGTCTTCACGGGTGCCCGTGTGACAGGGGTATTACTGACGTCGCTACTTTGCTCTTGCAGCGTACGTCTTTGTGCACGAGTGGGCCCATTACCGGTACGGAGTCTTTGACGAACACGGCTGGCGGGATGACGAAAAGTACCCACTCACCTACTGCGAGGAGGATCCTGTAATACGCTCGCGACTTTTATCTCACTTACCGCATCAATTAAGTTCCTCCATATGTTGAAAAATGTAGTTGATGTGCTTGTAGGGATCTCCGAATCCAATAGTCGTAACTGCAGTGTAGTTCTTTTGTTAGTTGACTACTTATTATATGCTTTATTTTATATTTCGCAAAATATGTAGGCGCAATTTTCACTGTGCCTTCATCAGCAATTTTTCCTAACGTATACACTTTCATAGGTTCATAGTATTTTTCTTTTTGTGACACTACGATAATTGCAATACGTTATGGCTGTACTGACCGTAATCGCAATGCTCCAAGGTTTAACTGCGCCACAATGCTTATAAAATTGCGAATACACAGGTATTTTCCACTTTGTAATGCTGCTGGGGTGTAAATTGCATAGTAATGGTGGTAACATGCAGTCAGCTAGCGCCGAGAGCAAACTAGGGTGAAAATGTCATTTCAAGTGTGAAATGATAATGCTTATAACAACAAAAGCAACAAGACTGACGAAGCTATGATGACAACTGCCGCAGATCCAAAAAGTCTCATTGAAGTTACTTACAGAGAAGCTCCTCCCCATGTTCCTCCTTTAGCTAACACTCAGGTGCAGCAACGCATGATGTGTCTTCAGCGATCTGTTCTATTTTAGTATCGGTGACGGCAGAAATCGTCCCCTGTCAAAAGTATTCCAGAGGCGTTGCTTGTGCGCACCTCAACAAACGAATAGAATTTAATTTTATCTCCTTTGAAAAAAGAAGGAGCAGGGGCAAAAGGTCACAAGGGTCTGACAAAGGGCTTCCGCTCTTGGTGAAACTGAGCCTCAGCAGCACGAATGACCATACACATTACATCATGCATACACTCAGTTGCACAGTTACAGAGTGATACTGCAAACAGGAAGTGAAGAGCAACCAGTATAGTAGTAAATACTCGGTTAGAAGTTGGCCTTCTAGGGGTGCGAAGTTATGATCGTGCTGGATCTACTGCAGGTATAATTAGGTGTGACGTATTCGGTCTGACTAGGGAAGCTGGCAGAAGCAGTCATGGTCGCCGAAACTAGCAGGCGTTGGCAACTGAAGCACTGCATTAAGCCTTCCACTCTGTCGACGTCAATTTTATTGAAAAGTGTTTACGCTGAAGTCCGCAGATTTTTCTCTTTTGCCCAAGTACCAAGAACTTCCTCATTTCCCCGTCTGTTTTCTTGCTTATTTGGCAGATTTACAAATCCACATATATCAAAGTACATTAGCCACGCATCTTTCAGCGGAAGCGGCGCGCCTTCCTCGTCCCGTCAGTGTCGTCCTTAGCGAACGGCGGACTCGTTTCGCAAGGTGCTGGCGAAGTTTGTGGTTGGAAAAATATGGGGGCCGAAGCCGAGCTTTAGCCAACGTGATTAGTCGATTTCGTTTCTATGGCTTTCGGCACATAAAAAAAACAAAGGAAAATCTAGGGACCTTAGCTTACATGTACTAGTACATCAGGACAACTTCGAACCTTAAACTTGCAGTTCATCGATGTTCATGCTTTTCTAAATACTCTTATCTTCTGTTCACTCAGGTCACAGGGGTCACATTGGTCAAACTGAATGCGTGCTCGTCAAAGATTTCCTTCAACCCAACACTGGCCTCTGGAGATTCGTGCCCACTTAACGAAACTACATGTATATTCCCCAAGGAGTGCATTATCCGTACCACAACAGAAAGGATAAATCCTGTCGAATCGTCAATCATGTTCATGCCATATGTCCCCAACGTGAGTGTCTTCTACTGTTCGACGCATGCCTATTTGGTCTTCAATTTTGTAGTTTCTCGAAAGAAGCAACGCCCCTAGACCCTAGAGGTTGGAACTGCACTAAATATCGATAAATATCAATTTAATTACTTAGAGAAAAGAGCGTTTTCATTATCGTGAAAGATTTCAGAAAAATGATACTTCTTCTGTCCTGTGAATACTAGTTTTTTTGAATTAATAGAAAAACTTGCGTCATTCCTGAGGTGATGTCAGAGCTGCCTTTGTAGTCTTCGCACATACTGCATGTTGGAAAACCAAGTGTTGAATGAGTGAATGAATGAATGAAGAATGAATAAATCATTCAGCCAATCAATCAATAAATCAAATATTCGGTCGGTCAGCCAAAGGACTCACTGCTATAATCTCACTTTTGTCAGTTTCTTTTATTGAAATAAACTACCTGTAACCATCCTTTGGGCGGATTCAAAAAGCCCGTAGTCATTCCACTGACTATGCCACGTCTTTTCTTCCTATTTTTTTACTTTTCTCCTTTCTTTTTCTTTTTTTCATATTCTTTCAACGCTCTCAAGCAATGACGTCGTCGCTGAGAGAGTGCAGGAGGTTGAGCCCCCAGTTTTGGCGCGCAACTGTTGCTATGCGCCACTGTACCGTCACGTGATTGCCGAGAGGAAGTGAGGGGGCGAGACCACAGCTTGCACTGTTGCAGGGCACGGGCGGGCGGACGCGAGTACGATACTTTGAAGGCTATGGCCTTAAAATGAGAAAACTAATACCCCTGTCACACGGGCACCTGTGAACACCGTTTAGCTTCCTCGTTTTTACGACAAGGGAGATGCGGTCCGTGCCACACAGCAATCCTTACGCAAATGAAGGTAAACGGAGCATTTCGCAAAGGACGTTCGACGATCTCCTTTTGCAGCGGAACGAGGTACTCTCGTTCCCATTATCGGCAGGTCAGACAAAAATTTCGAGCACTAAATAGCCGCAGTGACAACAATAAATACATTTTGGCAATAATAAACGATCTTTTGTTGTAGTACTCGTTCATAACGTGTGTTTCTTTGGCGTGGTGTGGAGGGCATCGTCACGTGTGCGGTTCTTGTCGTCGCCGTGTTTGTGTGTGCCCAGAAGAGGAATGACTGACAGTGCTGCCTCATTGTCACCTGTTTTTCAATGTGCTTTCAATCGAAAAAAATTTTAATGCATCGTTGCATTCAGACGTACTTATTATAGTGTTTTTGTAAAAAACGCATAACGAAGATTCCCCAAAAAAGCACCTATTGATAAAATTGGGATACTTCGGTGAAACTCAAACAGGGCTGGCTTAGCCCCCTCGCGGCAACTATTGCAACCTTGTCATTGCCGTGTGACACTGATACAACTCCATCTCCGTCGAACTACCTAGCGGAGCTTTACGTTGACGGTGTTTGGTGGTGACCGTTTGACAGGGGTATAAATGCGTGACGTATCAGTCTTCAGCCGTGCATTCCGGCGTGTGATGTTTCACCTACAGCAAAGGATATTGGTAGGATTGTTCGACGAACGATAGATTTTGACTCTATAGACCCGACAAATATTGCAGGTAAGCCACTTCTGCGATTCCACTAACGGAGTACGCCACCACGACCCACACGCTCCCAGCGAGCAGAATGCGATCTGCCAAGGAAGATCGACGTGGGAAGTCATCAGCGAGAATGAAGACTTCAAAAGGTATCCATGGCTCTCATCTAAACGCCTAGCTTATTCATTTCTAAACACATCACCGTTCAGCTGTAACATTCTCTTGACGAACACCTGGTTCTAATAAGGTAGAAAGGCACCGTTGCCCGCTTTAGAAACTGTACACACGTGAAGCCACTGCTTTGACAGAGGCGCGGTCTCAGTGATTTGACGGGAACTCAGGTGATATATAAAAAATCGTATTTTTTTTCTTCACCTGTTTTCCAGTGAATTATAATTAAACAAGTAGATTTGCCAGGGTATTCCTTAGGATACTTAAACAGAGCACATGTTTTAGCTAAAATGAATCGACGAACGATGAAAACTGATGCAGGAAATTCATTTTGAAGAAACTTTCAATAGCTCAGATTGATGTATTTATTAATTTATATGTGGGACGTAACGTCCCGAAACCACCATGTGATTATGAAAGACGCCGTAGTGAAGGGCTCCAGATATTTCGACTACCTGGGGCTTTTACCGTGCTCAAATAGCTCAGGTAAAACTCTTTGCCCAAAGGGCATTTCACTAAGCGAGTTCAGCATTGCAACGAACTCCTCAAGTCATTCAGAGGTGAAAGCAAAAATAATTAGGACAAATAACAGCGCAGACAAAAATGTTATGCAACCCACATATTTTAATTTAGAGCTTTCAACGAAGCCTGCCTTTTGAACTTCAGAGTCCTAACGACCGGAGTAAATGAAAATATCAAATACATCGACTTAGGCGGTGTTCCACACACCATCAGGTGGTACAGTAACTAGGGAGAGCTCGAGTAAAAACAACGTGCACAATTTGTTGTCCTCAGCCCCTATCATCTCACTGAGTGGAGATGGATAGTTTTGGCGTACTGAGAAAATATAGAATAGAATTTTCTTCTAGAACTTTCTAGAGGTGGAAGCTTGGACCATCTGGTTTGCTTTAACGTGCACTGACATAGCGCAGTACACGGGCCTCTACCATTTCACCGCCACCAAACTGCATCCGGAACCCGTCATATTCTGGTCAGCGGCCGAGCACTGTAGCCACCAATCCGCCATGGCAGACTTTTTCCATTTTGTGCGCGTGCGCGTTTCATTGGGTGGAGGGATAGTGCTTGGGTGCTACTCGGTGAGCATTAAGGTTGTCAACCATCGCGTAATTGCCCTACTTGCGTATTTGCGGAACTTTTCGTCGGCCAGCATAGGGTAGTACCGTGGCGACGTAAGGTAACTTCAACATTTCGTTCATCACTTATTAATATTGTGGAAGATTCACGTGACTTATCCAAAGGTTAAATTCCTGGGAAGATCAGAATTGGACCTGTTTTATTCCAATGTCACCAGTACAGAATACGAAAGGCGCTAAACACGATTGAAATAGGATTATTTTAAATGCGAAGCATTTCTTAGTGAACTTCGGTGAGTTCGAACGTATCTATCTATCTATCTATCTATCTATCTATCTATATCTATATCTATCTATCTATCTATCTATCTATCTATCTATCTATCTATCTATCTATCTATCTATCTATCATTCTATCATTCTATCATTCTATCTATCTATCTATCTATCTATCTATCTATCTATCTATCTATCTATCTATCTGTCTGTCTGTCTGTCTGTCTGTCTGTCTGTCTGTCTGTCTGTCTGTCTGTCTTTCTGTCTGTCTGTCTGTCTGTCTGTCTGTCTGTCTGTCTGTCTGTCTGTCTGTCTGTCTGTCTGTCTGTCTATCTATCTATCTATCTATCTATCTATCTATCTATCTATCTATCTATCTATCTATCTATCTATCTATCTATCTATCTATCTATCTATCTATCTGTCTGTCTGTCTGTCTGTCTGTCTGTCTGTCTGTCTGTCTGCCTATCTATCTATCTATCTATCTATCTATCTATCTATCTATCTATCTATCTCCCTGCCTGCCTGCCTGCCTGCCTGCCTGCCTGCCTGCCTATATACATATATTCTTAGATGTGCATGTTTTGCACATATAAGAAATATGTCCAATACTTGTGTCTATGTGCTTCGAGCTGTCGATGGATTCACTCTCGCGCTGTCAACTGCTAGCTTCCTGGTTAGCTAAATTGGCAGAGCAACCACCCCGGATAGGTGTTGGTACGGGTTCGAACCTAGACGAGGACGAGTTTTCGGCAACTAAGAGTCTTTTCTTTCTCATAAATCCGTATTAATTTCCTTATGGCTCCATGCTACAAATAGATGGTTCTCTTCTTTCTCTTTCTTAACCCTTCCGCGACCTTGCGGGTTCCCGCAGAACTCACGTGCAAAATTCAATTACATAGGTTTAGAGTACTTCAGCAAAAAGCAGTTCACCACATAGGAAATACTCAATATCACGCCCATGTTAGAGAGGTATTTTCCACATTCCAGATCAGCCAACTTACAATTTCTTCTTGCCTAAATGGCAAAAAAAATTCCCGTTGCAACAACCACAGTTTTTTTCTCGATATGCAACCTTATTATTTGCTGTTGTTATCGAATTATACAATGCAAAGGATCATCAGACTGCTTGGACCCCTTGCCAATGGTAGTCATGGGTCCAAAGCTATCTAATTTGCCCAAAGCTGTCTAATATAACATTGAGAGAGAGGACAAATGGTTCAGATGCTTTTCGTGCAAGACATATGGGCTAAGCAGCCTATCATACCGTGTGCCATGCTTGCTCAGTGAATTCGAAAGAAATTGGCATTCGCATAGAAAAGTACTGTGCAGTCAAGCAGTAAGTTCTTGAGCACTTGTCTTCAAGTCATATGCGAGCTATGCTATCACTAAAAAACAACTTGCCTGCCACATGTTCTGTTGTTAAGTTTTCCATTCTTTTTTGAAGTTGAATTACAAACATGCTTTATTTTTTTTGTCGTCCGTAGTTATGACGTTTATTTATAAATGCATAGCAGTCCTTTAGCCGTAACAATTTTTCTTACGTCTGATTTGTGCATTTTCATTATTGTACATTGTTTCTACTTACATGAGACACTCTTTTGCATTTACATCTTTTGTTTTCTCAAAGAAACCGTGAACTTGATAATCGTCATGCATTGACGTTGATGTATATTTTTACTTTTGTTAACAGGTGTGCTACATATAGGAACTACAAATGTTTAACGGAGATGTAAAATTGGAGATGCTTTTGTGCATGGTACGTTTGTTTTTGGCTGTCAGCAATTGGGGCAAGGACCTTTGTCAAGCTGTTTAGATAGCAGTTTTCCTTCTTCGCCTCGTGTTCATTATCTTGCTGTAACTAATGCTTAATTATTATATTTGTTTATTGACAGGAG